ATTAATAAATAAATTAATAAATTTTTTTAATAAACTTTAAAATTTTAAGTTTTACATTGAGCCAAAAAGTGTTCAGAAACTTTTAGCAAGGGTCTGTAATTGAACTAGAATTGTCAATTCTTTATCAATTTTTAAATATGTTAATAATATCTTTTTAATATATCTATTTATATTAAAAAAAAAGGATTTTATTCTTCTTGATATTTTTTTTAAAAATTTTTGTTTAAATATTTTAAACTTTACTTTAATAATTTACATTTTATCTTATCATATTTTAAACTTCATTTTAATTTTTATATTCTATTCTATTATATTTTTTTAAATTCTTTATATTTTATTTTATTATATTTTTTTTTAAAAACTTTACCTTAAATTTTATATTTTATTTTCTTATATTTTTTAAAACTTATTTTATTTTATATTTGCTTTATTTATAATTAATTAATTCAGATTTAACTATTGTTTATGCATCAGCGGTTATGATTAGGCCATTAGCATTCAAGAATTATTTATCAGATTACATGATCACATTCCCTAAATTTCATTTTTTCAGCCTTTTTTAAACACATTTTTGATCTTATAAGCAACAAAACAAAATCTGCAGATATAGGTTAATGTTTAGGTAATGTAAACATTATAGCATATGCTCATCAATTTATTGATTATATTATATGATGTAATTATTCATAAGATGAAAGTCAGACTTAAAAATTTCCGTCTCCTACAAAATTTAAAGGATATAAAAAAAATAAAGAAGTGTATTGCAAATTTAGGATTTAATTGAATTATAGTCTGTTATTATTAATAAAATATAAGTGTAAAGTATTGATTCTATAAAAGAGATGATAGTTGCGTCAAAATGTGAATAGTGAACAATGGTGAATTTTGTCACAGATATCAGTTATCAATACTAAGGCAAATACTCTATTAATGAGTAAATCATGAAAAGAAAATGTTAAGAATTCATATCAAAAATTAATTTCCAATACCTTATAGTTTGTAACACCAGCCATTTTTAACTTGCTATTAAAACTTATGGATCAATCGTTAGTATAAAAATAGATAGTTAGTTGTAACTAAAAAGTTATCACATATATGCAATATTTTAAACATATTGTATTTTGCGGACTATAGTACTCTCCCTATGCACAGTACTCTATACAAATTTTTTTTTGGATTAATTAAATACCCAAATATTTCACATGGAGTTGTTCAGATTTTAATCTTCAAAATTTATAAATATCTGAGGTATCTCTATAAATTTGATTAGCTGATAAAAAAATTGACGATGTTATTTACAATATATATTTTTTAAGGATTAAAAATATTTTTTTAGCTTTAACGTAAAGCTTTTGATATATATTGACAAATTTATTATTATGTGATATTATTAAAATATAATACATTCTATTAATTCTTTCAATATAGGATGTTATTTCTCATCAAAAAAATAATCTTAATTTTGATTTCTATTTTCCCCTTCACTATTGTTATCGCTATAATTAATTTTATTATTTTTACCTTTATCTATTCTAATTTTCCATTCATTTTCATAATCATTTTCTTCAATATATTCTTCATTATCAGAATTATCTAAATTATCTTCTAAATCTACTTTATCTTCATCCTCTAGCATGTTCAATAATCTATCATAATCAAATAAGTTATTATTATCTGAACTATCGGTATTCATTAAAATTTCACAACATTTAAATGACCTTTTAATAAGATCTTCATCAACTTTGTCTCATGATTCCTTAACCCATGTTGTAACTGTTGAATAGGAAGGTTTTTTAATTTTTCCAGCTAGAGTAAAAGCATGAATAGTAGATGATAGTCAATCATTATATTGTTCTTTAATCTTCAAATTATTAATAAAAAAATTAAAGAATTTAAATAAATATTATAAATTATTAATAATAAAAATTTAAACTTAAAAATTATACACTGATTTATCTTAGTTTTAAAGCTTTATTAATTGCAATATCTAATGGTTGCAATTTTATATACAACCATCCGGAATTATAGCAATATTTGTGTTATTTTCTACTAATCGATTTTTAACTGAATTTACAATATGACTGTGAAAAGAATCTATTACCAATAAGAAACGTGAATTACTAAAAAGATTTCTTGATATTTATACAGTTGTAGTCTACTATAGCATCTTTTTTTTATTAATCCACCCTTTTTCATTTACTTATATATGAATACCATAAGGAAAATTTTCTCTTGACAAATTTTTCAACTTAAAAATGCAAACTGCTAGAAGTTTGCTACCATCAGCCATACATATAAGTATAACTGTAAAAGATGAATGCACGTAATCTGTAATATAAATACTAACTGTTTTTGTACCTTTATGATCTATAATAGAATTATTTGGTAAATTAAACCATAAAGATGTCTCATCTATATTACCTATGTATTTTAAAGGATAATCATGCTGAATCCTTCTATATAAAATATAACTTAAAAAAAATATTTTGTTTTTCAAGCAAGTCTTGTGGTAATTGTTGTGCTACTGTTGTTCTGTATCGCTTACTAAGATTATATTTTCTCAAAAATCCACTTAGCCATTTGTTTGAAAATTTGAATGAAATGATATTTGAATTATTTACCAAAAAATCCTGATTTTAGATAGCATGATTGCTTTATTGGTAATCATTTTTTAGCTAACGGCATTTTGATTTATTTTTTTATCACAAACCCATGTATATAATTCATCTTCCAAATCTATATATTTAGCAGATTTACCCAGATAAAGCTTAAGAATATGAGACATACATGCTAATAATTTTGCTTTATTATTATCCATTTATGTAATTGTTTTGGTCGAATATTAAAATATTTGGTAGCTCCACATTTACTTTCTCCATTATTTTCTAAAAAATGCATCACCATTAATTTTTCTCTTATATTCTATTATTGTTTTTTCTTTTGTAGTAAACGATTACGTGCTTTTGATTTTTTTTATTTTCAATAATAATCATTTTTACTTTAAAATACTTTGCGTTACAAATAAAAGACAAAGAAATGAAAGTGCGTTTATTATTTATAAGGATTTATTACACAAAATAGGAGAAGAAATAGATAAATGTAATTTTTATTAATTTTTTCTCCTAAAAGGATAATTTACCTTACTTCTAAAATATAAATATATTTGGATATTATATATGGCAAATATCCTGGGTACTTTATAAACCTTATACCCTCTTAGGCACAGTATCTCTACAGTATTCCTGTATAATATACTCTGGATATAGCCTTTAACTATTTAAAATTTGTATAATACCTAGGATATTATGGCTTCCATTATATGGTAATATGTTAAATTATACAAGAACTTATAGATAAGTAATCATACCTCTTAAAATTACCTTTTACACAACTAAAAGAATCATAATATATTTTTTTTTATAGAGAAACTAATTCAAATAGAGAACTTTAATTTAAGTAAATGACACATTCATATAAAATTCAAAAATATAAATAAATAAAAATGAAATCTTTTTCTGGATTTTTTAAAAAAATTCCTTTTTATTATAACCAAAAGAATATATACACAAGTAGACAAATAAAAGAAAAATAAATTCTTACTGAAGCAACCTATAAAACAAGAGAGCTCACCAATAGAAATTTTGACTAAAGCTGGAATAGCAACATATGATTTAATGTAAAATAAATAATATGAAGAAATGAAAATCTGTACTATTGAAGATTGAAGTAAAATTATTTGGTCAGATGAATCAAATTTTCAATTAATCAATCCAAATGGAAGAGAATTTTATTGGAAATGACCAGTAACAATTAAATAGTTGGCACATTAAGCCAATCGTTAAAATTTGGTAATGGTATCAATTAGTTGATTTTAACAAGTCTAAAACATAAATAATTTAACAGAAACTTCACTTCTCGTTATCAAAGCTTTCTTTAATCAAAAGAATTAGAAAACTACAAACTATTTGCCACTTTTATAAATTACGGTGTGATTTTTTTTAAATAAGTCTTAGGTTGATTGTGCTGAATAAATAATAGTCAATGTCTAGGTTATGTTACCGACATTGTTCATTACATTGTTAGTGATGGTAAGTTTACTCAATATCTTTAGTGAATATTCAAGAAACAAATTTTATATGTACAATTCAAATCAATTTATGGATCATATGATTTATTATTTTCAAATATATTAACAATGACAGTACTGATTAAAAGTTACTAATTACAAATTTCAAAATCTTTTAAATTTCATTAATATGAGTCTGTATCTGCTTATACGATCGGGGTGGGTACTTATTTGGTGCCTGAAATCATTCAGTGCCTCAGTTTCAATTACAACTCGTCATGGATCTCCCCTTTTATTAAAAAATTTGTTTGCATTTGAAATTCTATACATTAAATTTTGAAATAATTTTTAGTTCAAAGTTTCAAATAAAATATTTTCAATACCAAGAATGCATATTTTTTTTTTTTTTTTTAAAAAAAAAGTTAAATATAATTAGGTGTTATTATTTTTTTTTCTAAATTTCTATACAATCATCAATATAGGTGGAACTTATGTTAATTTAAACTTTTGTCCTTAACCTATAAAATTTCTATCATGTGATGTCACTCTCATCGAGCACATGATTTTAACATGATTAATTTTTACACGATAAACTCATCACACGTAAATTTTTTATAATTAACGAACTTTCTCCTTTTTTTACTGAAACTTTTCCACAAATTTCTTATTTTAATTTTTTTTTTTTAAAGAAAAAAAATAAAATTTTAGTCAGTTGGTCCCGGTTAAAAGTGCTTAAATATAAAAAAAAATAGGAGTAAGCTTTAAAGTGTATTATACTATCTTAGGCGATATTTTGGCATAAAAAGGTTAATTCCGCGTTCTTACATTCCGAAAACACCCAAATTCCTAAAGATTTTTGTAATTGAACCGTGGTAGTAACGGCAACAGGCGTTAGGGCATGACACTGGTATTATCATGTAAGTATACTTAGTTATCGTCGTCTTGTCATTTTAGCAGCAGGGTGGTCCGAATATTGTTAAGAGAAAGGATACCATCCAGGC